AGGGGGGGGGGAGAGAGAGAGAGAGAGAGAGAGAGAGAGAGAGAGAGAGAGAGAAACAACTTGAATAGCTTTCATAACTAGATGTCCTCCAGATGTATTGGACTTCCAACATCCATATTCCCCACTCTGGTAGAACCACATTGGCTGCGAATTACGAAAGTTGACATCCAAGACATCTAGAGCAGGGTTCCTCAACCTTGGCAACTTTAAGACGGGTGGACTTCAACTCCCAGAATTCCCCAGCCAGCCTTCTGAAATTCTGGAAGTTGAAGTCCACCCGTCTTAAAGTTGCCAAGGTTGAGGAACCCTGATCTAGAGGACATCAGAATGGGGGAGACTGCAATAGAGATAATCCAAGACATTTGCTGCTTGACCCATTTCCATTCCAGGTACAAAAGGCAATTGGACACTTGAATACTGCTTTAATACTGGAAATAGAAAGGGATCCTCCCAGGACAGTTAAGGAGAGCAGGCTAGAGTAGGGCATGTGAGACAAGCCCTATCCCCTAAGAGAGAAGAACGACCTAGTGGCTCAATAAATAAATACAGAGAAAGTTCAAGCTGTCAGTAAGGTCCCTGAACATCTGCTGTTCTTTTATTTTGTCCACCAGTTGGGCAGGGCCTGGCTCAAGTGTCATCCATGTTTAATTATAATAGTAATGTAACGTTTTCATGCTAATAGTTTGCTTTGCCTAAGGGAAGGTTGCTAAAAATAAATACTACTCAGGGGGTATATCTGTATAGAGAAATACTTCCATTATAATTCAATTCTAAATCACGATTAGAAGATTCTTTCCCAGAATACATCTTTTCCCTCTTAAAAAAGGCCAAATTTCAAATTACTCACAAGAAAAAGCATCTTAGCCCCCAGTTTTTACTAAACACTATTTTGGGTGTAAACAGTTGCCCAGCAAACAATGTTTTGATTTCTCTTTCCCAAACATTTATTTTCGTCCAAAAGTGGAACAAAATAAGACGTCATGGCTGATTTTTAAAACTGTTAGCACTGTAGATGCTTGTCACAAATGGTGGTCCAGATGAGGTAAATCTCTGATGTTTTCTGTTTTATAGTAGTTCTATACAAATAATTGATCTAATTATTTTTCTTTTCTCATCTTTGCTGCTAGAGTAAAAATGAACACCACTTAAGCATCTATTATTCTTTGTCCAAAGGTTCTGCAAACAACCTGCATTTTTGAAATCTGTCTACTCTCCCCCAAAAGAGCATATATTTGGGAAGGTTGCAAAAGGTAAAGTTGGCTGCAAAACTGAACAGAGGAAAGAAAGTTGTATGCAATAATAAATACAAATATTCTAACAGTTGCAAAACCCAGATTGAACAGAAATATATATTGATCCCTAGCTCTTTTATTATAATTCAGTTTCAGTGATAACATTAATTGTTACTGAACAAAAATTACAAGGGACGCATTTTGTGCCCCCCAGCTTTTTTCAGGCTGTGTATTTGTGTGTGTGTGTGTGTGTGTGTGTGTGTGCCTTTGAGTCAGTGATGACTCCTGGAGACTGCCTGGACAAGTCCCTGTAGTTTTCTGGCAAGATTTTTGGGGTGGTGGGCCCTTGCCTTCTTCATCCTAGGGCTGAGAGAGGGACTGGCCCAAGGTCACCCAGATAGCTTCATGCCTAAGGTTTAGGACTAGAACTCACGGTCTCCCTGCTCCTGGTCCAGCACCTTCACCACTAGATCAGACTGACTCTGACACGGTCTTTAAGTCATACTTGACTCCTGGTGATCGACGTGGACCAGTCCCTGCAGCTTTCTTGGCAAGATTTTGGAAGCAGTGGGCCCTTGCCTTCTGCTTCCTAGGGCTGAGTGAGAGGGAGTGGCCCAAGGTCACCCAATTGGCTTCATGCCTAAGGCAGGATTAGAACTCATGGTCTCCTGGTTTCTAGCCTTTGCCTTAACTACAACACCAAACTAGCTCTATTTTCAGCCTTTAGGGAGGGTTTTAAGAATGCAGTTGGTGTCTTGTATCTTACAAAGACATATCTTTTGAAAGCCTTCTGCTGCTCATCCAACTGGGCTAACCAAATTTGAACCTCTGCAGCTCTCACCATGTCCACAAACCCAGGGCAGCCCTTGGGTTGTCAGAAGTTGTACATTTCTAACCTTGAGCTTGATTCTTCCTTTTCTGGGGGGTGGGGGGAGGGGAGAAACAAAATTTGCATTCCCTTCTGCAGAATTCAATTTTGAATGCAAGAAATGTCCTTCCCTCCTGTTTCAGGCTTCACTTGTTCTTCAACAGGAGCCCTTCTTTGTCTGTTGCTGTGTTTACATTACCTGCCATTGGCCACACATTCCAGGATGGCTTCATTACTCCCAGTTATTACACTTGAATTACGTGGAGGGATTACAATCACAGGGGTCACAGTGTTGGTTGAAGCATCAGCACCTGTAAATGGGAGGAAAAATAACCCCATAAGCAAGGGTCAGTGGGAAGTCAATGGGAAGACCAGGAAGGAGTTAAGTGTTCAACAAACCACAATTTTTATTGAACACAGAGAGATTGATAGGGTGGTGGGATACATCCCTATTGTTATCTGCTCCCAGTTAGGGCTGGCAGGGCCTGGACTTCGGGGAAGAAATGGTGAACTGAAGACGACCGTGGCAGTAGACCGGCTCTTTGTAATTGCTCTCCGGCCAAGGAGACGACTTGAGATTGCACTCAAGCACTCGATACAGTTGGTCATTGTTAGGAGACCGCAAGGCAGTGGTCTCTGGCAGGTTGAGGGCTTTGGGAGATGAGGAAATAGCCATCTTTTGCTCAAACCATGGCTGGCGCCTTCAAGAGGGTTTGCATACTTCTTTTTCTAACCACTTTTGGAAATTGCTTGTTAACTGCTTTTCAGCTATTAGGAACCTTTGGATCGACAAGTCTGAAAACTCTGGGTGAGCTTCCTTCAATGCTTAGTGAAAGAAGTTTTAAATATAACTTTAAGGACTTAAAAAAAATCTTTTGGAATAAAGAGCAAAAGGGTGATTTGAACTTTGATTTTGGAAAGTTACAAATGGACTAAGGGTCCAGACAGATTTGAAATAAGATTTTGGAATTAATTGTAAGAATCCTTCCTGTGGGAAAATGCTTTTGTTTTGAATTCTCTTTAAAAAAAGCAAGTTAGGATGAGACTTTGAAGGTTGGAGACTAGAGGGAATCAGAAGGAACTAAAAATTACTATTAAATGTTAAGGAGAAGAATACTTAAGTATGACTTACTAATACAGAATGGAGTATTCCAATATTTTAACATTGGAATATTGATGGATATTTTTGAACAATGGACCCAGAAGTCAATTTTAAGAGTGTCTGCCTCTATAGTAGACTGTGTTTAAAAGATGTTATGGAAGAGGAACAAGTTTTATGGGACAAGACTGACACTGATCTGAAAGTGGATTTAAAAATGAAGGCTACAAGAATGATATGAAAAAAGATACTACACTGGACATAGAAATGAAACCACCTGATGTCTTATTAAGTAAAAGGGATATACAAATAACAAACCAAAAGAGCGACTTGGATAACTTTCCTGTATTGGATTTACAAAAGAGATTTGTTAAATCTTTGAAGAATTTTGTGAGACAGGACAAAGAAAACATGAAAAGAAATCAAGTTCTAGGACATTATTTGAAGGGAATAAAGATCAAGATTGTTAAAAGTAAAAAACAAAACAAAACACCACAACGGAATGTACAGTTGGTTTATTTGATCAAGGTTAAAACAGATAAGTTTTACAGTTATCTCTGGTAACTGTTAATGGACTTTTGCTGATCAGGACTGAATGATGAGGTTTTAAGGATTTGTTTATGAATAAGAGATGGGATATGGGAAGAAGAGATTATTTGTGTATTTTAAGAGAAGGTGATAAGTTACTAAAATTGCTTATACTTGTTGTGATGAAGGGGGAAGTAATTTAATTATATATTTCTTTTGTCTTTACTATATTTTTATTTTTTCTTTCTATTCTGTTTTTCTATCTTTTTCTTTTATGCCCTTTCTAATTTTTCTTTTTATTCTTTTCTTTTTTAGTTTGTATTAGTTTTTAACTTTTTAACTGTAATTTTTAATAACATTACTATTAAAAAAAAAAGGATTGGCAGGGCTCCAGGCCATACCATTGTATATATCCACAATGTATATACATGCTTGAGGTTTCCTGTCACTGGAAGCAAAGCAATATTTTTTCCTCCACTACCAAGCATTTCTATTTTTATCAACCACTTGCTGATTTATATTTTTAGGATCTTTTCATTTTTTGTTTAATCTTACTATTTCTGTGTGATTTCAAAAGAGGCTGTCAGGGCCCAAATGAGTTCTTTAAAAAGCTATTTTTTACATACTCCGGGGAACAAAAATGAAATTAACAAAGCAGCATATCACAACAATTTCAATCCTCTTTCCTTATCAGAAAAGTAAATAACCCAAATCTGCTTTTCTTTTTTGAGTCGACATACTGTAAATAATTTAGCTTATACAATCCTCAGTACACATTAGAAAAAAAGATGGCAAAGGGGAAAAAAATCCTGCCAATTTAGGCTTGTTTCTTTTCAAAAATTTCAGTGCATGTATTTAATAAGTAAATTAAAATACCAATATGTTATTGCTTTGCTTCAAG